GTCTGTTCGTCCGTCCGTCTGTCCGTCTTTCTCTCTGTCTGTAACACTTTTGATTCCATAAGATATCTCGAGAACCCTTTGCACTTTGGCAATGAAATTTTGCATAGAAACTCCCTATGGACTAAAGAAGAACCCTATTAATTCTGAGGTCAAAGGTAAAGGTCATAAATTTGCAAATTCTGTCTTTTACAACACTTTCGTTTCCGCGCGATATCTCGAGACAATTTGAGCTTTCGCAATGACATTTAACATATTAACTCCCTGTGGCCCATGGAAGACCCCTATTGATATTGAGGTCAAAAGGTCAGAGTTCAAGGTCGTAAATTTATACATTCTGTCTTTATGAAACACTATCCTTTTCGGGCGATATTTCAAGAAGATTTTCAGCTTTTGCAATGTAATTTTATACCAAAACTCTCTAGGACCTCTCTCATCCCTCTCAATGTGTTCCGCCCTGTTTGTTTTATTAGTATTTATTGTTTTACATGTCGCTATTTTTAGCACATGGGCATGAGGAGAGTCATTACGTATAAACAGGTTCTCGGTGGACTTTATATTCTTATTACATCTGTTTAACAAAGGTTAAATTAGACACCATGCATTGTGTAAAATTTTGACAATATCGAACGTGAATATATACATGTATGTGACATCATCTTTGCATATACATTTTTGCCAACTTAAAGCAGTTCTGTGGTCTAGTGGTATGTCTCTCGCTTAATAAAAGATAAAAAAAAATGTCTCTCGCTTAACATGTGAGAGGGCCCGGGTTCGCAACCCAGAAGATCCATTTTTTTTTCCCGAAATAATTTTGTTTTTACTAAATGATAGTATTCAGCATGTGATACAAAAAAAATTATTAGGTCTGGCTTTTACTAACTCATAAAATCATCATTACAGTGTAATAAATATTCCATATAAAAAGAATCTTCTATACACATAATAAAGAATAAGCAATCAAATCTTTATATCAATATTGGCATATTGTATTTGCTTCTGTATACATGTATGTATGTACATTTAATAATTCTACAAATTCATTCATGGGGATCCGACCCCCCCCCCCCTCCCCCGAACTGCGCATGGTTTACTTTTTCCCTAAGTGGGGGACACAAATTCTCTGAATTAGCTTGTTAAAGTAATATTCCGCCATCACCTATTTATGTTATGCGGGTAAAACGTTGCAATATTATACTTTTTTGTTATTCTGATTCTAAATCATGTCATTCCTGTTCTATATATATATATATATATATATATATATATATATATATATATATATACTGAAAGGAAAAAGAAACGCATAATAGCGAAATATATTTAACTATGTGGCCGAAAATTATGAAAATTGGTCAAATGTGTATTTTGATTACTGTGCACTAAAATCGCTGGTCAAAATTACTCAACCATGAAATGTATGGCGTCACGTAGGGGAAGTGATAAAAAGCCAAATACACGTGCATGTTGATGATGACAATTTTGTGATCACATTTTGTAGTGCCAAGAGATGCATTTGAGTAAATACAGACATCGTTTTCCGGTATTTGCAATCAGTAAAAATTTCTTGCAATCATGGTATTGTTGACGGAAGTTACATGGGGTCTAGTAATTGAGTTGCATAACTGAATAAAAAGGCAACACCATGTTGTTGTACAGTTTGTTTTTAACTTCTCAATCAAAAAAAGGTTTTTCGGTTGTCAGAGAGTAACTTTAAATGTTTTCAACCAACCATGACGGTGACGTTGGCACGTAACAACGTCACATCAAGGGAGGGCTTTTCATTATTGTCAAGTCATTATTACTGAAATCGATATTTTTACTGCAGATAATCATACTCATATTTTCACCCTAATACTGACAGAAACTCTCTGCTCTAATTTGGTACGCAAGCTTGGCAATTTTACGTTAATTTTACTCTCACATGCGCCATATGCGTAAAGGTTTTAGCATGTTCACGCTGAGAAAATGTAGTCAGTGTTTGTCGAGACTTCCATACAACATTCATGTGTACCGAATAAGCTACATTCGGTCAATTCTATCCTAAATTCTATCCTAAATCGTCAATTCGTGGGATTCATTTGGCGGGGGGATTTGTTGGCTTTTGAATAATACATCTACTTTCAACCATTAATACTACCGTCGGAAGGATTGAATAATAATACTATGAGAAAGATAAATACTCAATGCACAAGAAAATCAAGACTGTTACTGATGCGCAAGTGACATGATGAGAATTTTTATTTTAATTTTGAGGGTATCGACATATCAACTTCAATAACTCTAAAATTATCAGTCAAAGTTACACAAGATTTCGGTTACTTGTTGTTTAAAGTGAATTAAAATGTTTAATAACAATACTGGAAAACATATTGGAAATAAAATTTTTAATTTTATTCAAAAGTTTATCATGCGTTTCTTCTTCCTTTCAGTATACACGGGATGATAGGTTTCTATTATTCTTGAAAAGGGAAAAATTGAAACTGAAATATACTTGTAAATATAGAGATACTGATTTATCTTGGACAGACGCAATAAAACAAAGAGAATTTTTTATTTATAGTGTTTTTTATTTATTTGGCGCTTTTGGGCAGGGCTGAATAAAATAACAACATATTATTTCGGGCCTCCAAAGCAACGGGAAGGCCCAGCAACAACAACAACATTTCAGTTCAACAACAACATTTCAGTTCAACAACAACAACATTTCATTTCAACAACAACATTTCAGTACATCATCAACATATCTGGTGACCTTGACCCTGGGAGTTGCAGAGGCCAAGGTCAACAAACATTTCAGTACATCAACATATCAGGTGACCTTGACCCCTGGAGATGCAGAGGTCAAGGTCAAATAATAAAAACTTGCAATGCAAGAATAATATTCACACATCCATGACTCTGGGAGGTGCAGAAGTCCAGGAAGAAAATAAAATAGTTTTGTTTACACTGTCACAATATTTACATGGTATTCAACTTTGACCCTGTGTGGTGCAGCGGTCCAATAATGAACCCATATTACATCATGGTTCAAGTGATGTATGCCGCTCAGTTCGCAGTCCATCTTCAGAGGTGACAGCCGTGCCGAATATGTAGATGCAGGTGACCAGTTGCTATGTAAAACTCAGTTCGCAGTCCATCTTCAGAAGTGAGAGTCGTTCCGAATATGTAGGTATATATGACCACTTGCTATGTAAAACTCAGTTCGCAGTCCATCTTCAGAAGCGAGAGTCGTTCCAAATATGTAGGTATATATGACCACTTGCTTTGTAAAACTCAGTTCGCAGTCCATCTTCAGGAGTAACAGCCATGCCGAATACGTAGGTATAAATGGCCACTCACTATGTAACACTCAGAAATGTCAGTTCGCATTCCATCTTCAGAAGTGACAGCCATGCCGAATATGTATGAATGTAGGTACATATGACCACTTGGTTTGTAAAACTCAGTTCGCAGTCCATCTTCAGGAGTATCAGCCATGCCGAATATGTACGTACAAATGACCATTTGCTTTGTAAAATTTTTCACTGAAAAGAAAAGCAGAAACCAGCAGTCAATCTCTCACCAGAGGGCGTTTTACGCTCATCGCTCCAACACCTCTGTTATCGTCTAAATTACAAGAATCTTGTAAAACGAAAATAAATTATAGATTTCCACCAACTTGGTAATTTTTTAAAATGAAATAAGAAATATCAATCTGTAGCACTTCTTTTGTTCTTTCAAAATTTATATATATGTTAAAATAGCTTCAATATATACGGCACTATTTTGTTCTGAATTTTTACGCATATTTTCATTTTGAAACCAAGGAGACAAAGTCAGGAAATATTTACTACCAGAGAGCTTAAAACACGTAACATTATTGAGAAATCATGCAAAACAATCAATGTCTAACAATTTTTGTCGACAAATAATTATTTGACAACCCGCGCTACTTTTTAGACGACAACAGAGGTGTAAGCGGAGCGCGCCCTCTGGTGAGAGATTGACCAGCAGTATTTATTCAACAATGTACAATTGGGGGATTAGGGTAGGGAGGGATTTCTTAAATTTACACTTAGCCATTGTTTTCTCAAATTTGATTAACACCAACCTTGCAACTACCGTGTAACCAGCAAAGAGAGAGTTTGCAGCACGAGCACCTTTCTTTATATAATTGAAAGTTAGATAACTCGTGCTGAAACAAGGAGAGATAACTGCGCCAAAAAATATTGCGCTGCCAAGATAAAAGCATCTTATTCGCATATGGGCGAGATAGATGCTATATTATCTTGGACAGACGCAATAAAACAAAGAGAATTTTTTATTTATAGTTTTTTTTATTTATTTGGCGCTTTTGGGCACGGCTGAATAAAATAACAACATATTATTTCGGGCCTCCAAAGCAACGGGAAGGCCCAGCAACAACAACAACATTTCAGTTCAACAACAACATTTCAGTTCAACAACAACAACATTTCATTTCAACAACAACATTTCAGTACATCATCAACATATCTGGTGACCTTGACCCTGGGAGTTGCAGAGGCCAAGGTCAACAAACATTTCAGTACATCAACATATCAGGTGACCTTGACCCCTGGAGATGCAGAGGTCAAGGTCAAATAATAAAAACTTGCAATGCAAGAATAATATTCACACATCCATGACTCTGGGAGGTGCAGAAGTCCAGGAAGAAAATAAAATAGTTTTGTTTACACTGTCACAATATTTACATGGTATTCAACTTTGACCCTGTGTGGTGCAGCGGTCCAATAATGAACCCATATTACATCATGGTTCAAGTGATGAATGCCGCTCAGTTCGCCACAAGACCCCAGTCGTATATTCTTGAACAAAGCATATACGAATGGGGGCGCCGCCACTTTCCGAGTGGGGGTCCTGAGCGGCCTGAAACAGCCGTGACCCTTCCTCTCCAGATATATGTCATTACTGTGATGGATAAAACTTACATCCATGCCTAATAATTGGCTTTATATCCCCTGATTTTTTTTTTTTTTAACTTGGATAAATGTCCCCATCCCTTTCAGATAATCTTGGCTTGGCTTTTTGATGTCAGGATAGTGGATTACAGAATCCCCAACTTCACAAACTTTGTTAAAGAAAAATGCATTAAACCCCTTACTAGTATTCTCCATGGCCAGATTATATAAAGAACAATGCCAATTAATACGAGCAGAATATGAGACCATATTAAGTGCACAAGAGGAAATTGAATCTCCTTAATAAATTTCAAGTATTTAAACCTGACATTCTTTAATTTGTCACTGTTGTTTCCCTCTATGGATAATTTGAGATGAAATCCCCAATTCCGTACTTGCCCCAATACGAAAGAAGTGGGATCTGTTGTCCCAAGACTCGAGGTTTAAGACTTATGGTTTGGCTAAATTCAAAGTAAAATGGTACTTAGTGAAAGGAGATCCGGAAAAATTGACAAAATAATTGACCCTTTGGGTAGGTCTTATTTCTAAAAACCTTTGAAGATTAGTGCAGGGGCAAATTAAATCCTCTGTGTCATGTATCTGCAAAGTCGTTACCCTTCCATATTGGTCCGTCTTTTTTTTTTTTTAATTAATTAATGATGTGCCGTCAAATTGAGTTTCTGTATTGGCAACAACTCCATCTGAGGATTCGTCGGAGACTGCATAATTTTGTTTTTAAAGAAAGTTTTAGTATAGAATAGAAAACAATTAATGATACCTCATATGAATTTGTACATACGCAGGGTAAAATTTTAAGAATCTGCTTTAATATGGACCTTTTAATGGGCAACCTATTGTCAATGCTGTGAGCTGTGCTTTTTAACCCCTGTAGCAACTTTTAAGTATGAACTCTTCTGTTAGGTCTATGTGATCTTGAAGTTTGCAATTATAAGAAACGGAAGCTAAGTTAGGACGAAATGTCGAAAACACAAGGCCTTTAATTGACCAGTGTGCAACAAATCTAACAATCAAATAACAAGGGGGAGCCAAATAGTCTTTAATCTTTGTTGCAAGCAGCAGCTGAAGTATGCTCTTATACGCCTAATTAATAAGCCTTGCTAGTGTTTTCAGAAAATGCTGCCCCTAACAACTTGTTTAATTTATGCTAGATATGAGGTTCTGGAATTCGATTGGTACAAGTTGTGGTGATGTTATGTGGTGCAGTTTGCCAGAAATGGTGCCACTTCTGACGAGAAATTGAATCGGCACTACTGTTATAACTAGTAAGGAAGTGAACAGCACGAAAAATTATATTGTTTAAAAGCAGTCTAACACAAATGAACGAATTAATCTCATCACTCTACTGGATTTTGAGGACTGTATGTTCAAAACCATAACCAATGCCTCATTATCAATATAAAACTGTATTCTCCTATTTGCAAGTTGACTACCACATAAACTGACAGCCAAAACTACTGGGATAAGATCTAGTGTTGTCATGTCATACAATACATCTGAAGAACTGTAGTCACCCATTCACGTGGCTAAGGGAAATAGCACCATTGCCCTGAAAAGTATGCTCCACAACCCAGATGTGCAGAAACGGCACTCTCTGTATATAGATCTAAAATTTAATTTGACGACCAATCACTTTCTTGGAAATAATCTTGACCATTAAATTGTTCTGGGCATATATCTTGCTTCATTTCATTGTTTAACATAGTATGATGGTGAGACTTAGATACCCCCGGGTTGAATCGTACTATCTCCTAACAAACTTGTAAGAGAAATCGAGCTTCTGCAACAATGACCATAACTGCCGTAGAACTAATAATTAATGTTCCTACAGTATGGACGTCAATTTGATACATTTTTCAAGAGGTATTCTGATCAGCATTTTCATTGTTTCATTTCTAAACCTACAAGACAGTGAGTGGGATAAACCGTTTTGTCATCAGTTAAGGGGAACCCACAGTTGAATACAAACCCCTTGCGATGTTTGCATTAATTTAAGAATGACTCGCTTTCTTTATCTGCAAATATGAAATCATCTATGTGAATAATGATCTAGAGGGAGATGCCTTGAAGACATTTATCAAAGTAATATATAGACCCTCAACTTTGAATTCTAAAAGGTCAAAATCCTCAGGGAACGTATGTAGAAACCTAAAGCTGATTTAATATCCACTTTCACAAAATATGCACCTTCACCAGCCTCGGCCAACATTTTTTTATTACTATCAAAGGATGTATAATAACTGTGAACTTACAATGGTTTATATAGTGATTTTCACTGCAGGATATGAAAGGTGCGTTATCTATCGCCACCTAGAGTTATTCCTCTTTGGTACCACTCCCACTGGAGATACTCTGAGATTACATATGGGAAACACCCCCACCCCCCCTTAATGCATCTTCTTTGTTATTATTATTTTATTATTATTATTGTTATTAGGGTCTTCCGTCTTCAGCGGAAGACCCTTCTATTATTCTTCGGTTTCTTTTTCACTTTTATTATTATTATTATTATTATTATTCTTTTTTCTCCTTACCGATTTTGTGCAGAAGATTTCTCGGAGATGGCTCGATCGATTTGGTTCAAATTTTCGGTGTTGATGTGCTTTTATCTGAAGTTTGTACCGGCGCTTCGATTTTGAAAAATTCACTTCCGGTCGGAAGTTATCGCCCTTTAATCAAAATTTAGATGACCTCCATGTCTGTGATGGAACTCAAAAACGGGTCAAGCTAGAAAGCTGAAATTTTCAGGGATGGTAGAGGACATGTTGCCATATTGCACCTGGGTCAGGATATTTTCCGGAAGTGCCTAGTATGGGAGCTCGGTAGGGGTCAAAATTTAGGAGACGAATCATGACCGATTTTTTGAGACATTTCGCATCATATCTTTTAAAGTATAAATATTTTGTTAAAACATACTGAACATCATTTGTGCAGAACATCGAGATCTTTCATATTATACCAAGAAAAAAGCGCTGACTCATCACATTAAGGGCAAAAAGGGGCCAGAAGTCTTTAATCGATAACTCTTTAACAATCAATATTTTGGTATATTTTACTGAACAAAAAATGTTAAGCTTAACAATCTACAAGTATATATTATGATTTTCATGTCGTATGGTACATAATTAGGGGCCACAAGGGGCCAGAATACAAAATTTTTGATGCTTTATATCTGGAAAGGGAAAAATATTTTGATAAGCAATAATGAACAAAAGATGTTTAAAATAATGTTCTGAACAATATGCAACCTTTCATTTATTGCTAAACGTCCCCATTAAGGAGTTGAAGGGTTGGCCCCTAAATATTTCTTTTGCTAATAGCTCAAAAACGAAAAAGAATTTCTGAATAGTTATTGAACAAAAAATGTTTAAAATCTTAAGATCTTTAAGATGAGATCCCGAAAAAGGGGCTGGGCACTCAAATTAGGGGCCAAGAGGGGCCAAAAGTCTTTTTTCGATAACTCTTTATCATTTAATATTTTGTAATACATTACTGAAGCAAAGATGTTTATCTCAACGATCTACAACTATATATTATGGTTTTTATGTCGTATGTTACATAATTAGGGGCCACAAGGGGCCAGAATGCTAAATCTTTGATGCTTTATATCTCGAAAGGGAGAAATATTTTGATAAGCAATATTGATCAAAAGATGTTCAAAATAATGTTCTGAACAATATGCAACCTTTCATTTTTTGCTAAACGTCCCCATTAAGGAGTTGAAGGGTTGGTCCCTAAATATTTCTTTTGCTAATAGCTCAAAAACGAAAAAGAATTTCTGAATAGTTATTGAACAAAAAATGTTTAAAATCTTAAGATCTTTAAGAGGAGATCCCGAAAAAGGGGCTGGGCACTCAAATTAGGGGCCAAGAGGGGCCAAAAGTCTTTTTTCGATAACTCTTTATCATTTAATATTTTGTAATACATTACTGAAGCAAAGATGTTTATCTCAACGATCTACAACTATATATTATGGTTTTTATGTCGTATGTTACATAATTAGGGGCCACAAGGGGCCAGAATGCTAAATCTTTGATGCTTTATATCTCGAAAGGGAGAAATATTTTGATAAGCAATATTGAACAAAAGATGTTCAAAATGATGTTCTGAACAATATGCAACCTTTCATTTTTTGCTAAACGTCCCCATTAAGGAGTTGAAGGGTTGGCCCCTAAATATTCCTTTTGCTAATAGCTCAAAAACAAAAAAGAATTTCTGAATAGTTATTGAACAAAAAATGTTTAAAATCTTAAGATCTTTAAGATGAGATCCCGAAAAAGGGGCTGGGCACTCAAATTAGGGGCCAAGAGGGGCCAAAAGTCTTTTTTCGATAACTCTTTATCACTTAATATTTCGTTATACATTACTGAAGCAAAGATGTTTATCTCAACCATTTTCAACTATGTATTATGGTTTTTATGTCGTATGTTACATAATTAGGGGCCACAAGGGGCCAGAATGCTAAATCTTTGATGCTTTATATCTCGAAAGGGAGAAATATTTTGATAAGCAATATTGAACAAAAGATGTTCAAAATAATGTTCTGAACAATATGCAACCTTTCATTTTTTGCTAAACGTCCCCATTAAGGAGTTGAAGGGTTGGCCCCTAAATATTTCTTTTGCTAATAGCTCAAAAACGAAAAGGAATTTCTGAATAGTTGTTGAACAAAAAATGTTCAAAATCTTAAGAACTTTAAGATGATATGAATAAAAAGGGCCGATTCTTAAAATTAGGGGCCGTTAGGGGCAAAAGGCCGATTTTTTAAGTCTTTAATGTTCAATGTCTTTTTACAGATTGTGGTAAATCATTATTTTAGAATGAAAATCTCAATCAAAATCTCTCATCTCATCAAGAATTGGACGGAAGACCCACTCGTTGCTCGCAACGAGATCGTATCTAGTTATTATTATTATTATTCCTGCTTTGTATTGATAAGCTGAAATTAAATTGATATTTTTTGTATGTAACATTGGACTTGAGTTATAAAGTCTGAACCCCTGAGAAAAACCCATGCACTCAACAATTTGTTGCTACAGGTTTCTTTGTATAACGATTAGTGTCGGATCATTATTAATATAGGAATTTTAATTGGTATGTTTCCTACGGCCAAATTATTTTTAGCCATTTCCCTTGTATTTTTGGATGTGGGACTGAGGTTTTTGGTCGGAGTTTGGTGGAGCTTGATGTCTTGTATAAGGATTTCTATATTGTAAACTTATAATTGTGGTTGCATGGGCTTGGTTCGAAAGGAGTATGATGTCCGTCCGAAGGAGCTCCTAGTATTTTATTTACCTGGGCTCTTTAAAAATTGCATTGGATGACTGTGTGCATGCCAACACCACTTGTACGAGTGCGCATGTACTGACACAGATTTGACTGCAGGACCCCTTAAAATTGAAATCAACGCACATTTTGATTGAGAGCGTTGAGTCTGGAGAAATTCCAGTCGATAACTAGGATTCATGTATAACAACAGTTTTAAATCAACTGAGACCCAAGAAATAAGGGATCTGTAGATTTCCGAAGACGATACTGCGTGAAATATTCAAACCCCAAGGGAACTGTATGGACAAACTTAGGATATCTATTGCTTTATCTGGATGGGCAGATATGTAAACAGATGCAAACATGAGCAATTTTTCAATTGGAAATATATATATATATATATATATATATATATATATATATATTTTTTTTTTTTTTTTAAGTTAAATAAACAGTCATCAGTTACAAAGTAATGAAGCTGAAAAGAGTCAATTAGCCATAGATTGCATGAAATAGGGTTATAAAATTATTATCGATTACTTTAAATTTTTTTCACTCGGGACAAAGATGGCGGCTAGCACATGGTGATGCAAAAAGACAAATTGAAATGAATCTCATCTTGATCTAAATTTAAACTTTTGTTATCGAATAGATAAGTAAACATACGAATTCATATAAATAGTAATAACTATTTCTTAAATTTACACTTAGCCATTGTTTTCTCAAATTTGATTAACACCAACCTTGCAACTACCGTGTAACCAGCAAAGAGAGAGTTTGCAGCACAAGCACCTTTCTTTATATAATTGAAAGTTAGATAACTCGTGCTGAAACAAGGAGAGATATATTGCGCTGCCAAGATAAAAGCATCTTATTCGCATATGGGCGAGATAGATGCTATAATATCCTGTAAAACAAATTCCCAGTTAAAAAAAAATGTTCAAACTCTGATGTGGGGTCAATATTCAACATGGTCAATTTTCAGCTTATTTAGGTCATCAGGGATAAGAAAAAAGATATCAAGCTGTTGAAAAATGAACCCAGATATCAATTCAACAACTTTTTGTCTCAATTTTCAACGGAGAAAAAACACCCCCGGTTCAATATTCAACGTTGAAAAATGAACCAATTTTCAACTCGGGTCAATATTCAATGTTACACTGGCATATTTAACATGAAGCGCTATTTCGCGCTTCATAGAATATGCCGGAATGAAGTGTCGTAGTTCAAGTCTATATGAATCTTCAAAATGAATTTCATTTTTATTAGCTCACCTGAGCCGAAGGCTCATGTGAGCTTTTCTGATCACATTTTGTCCGTCGTCCGTCCGTCCGTCTGTCCGTCCGTCTGTACGTCTAGCTGTCTGTCCGTCCGTCTGTCTGTCCGTAAACTTTTCACATTTTCGACTTGAATACGTAGGTCAATTGAACTTTGAAACAAAGAAAAGAGACATAAGATATGGATTGTGTATGCAGATATATTGAGGAAGATGTAAATGTTATAAATAGAGTGAAGACCTCAAATCATCGACTCTCCTTTTCACAGCGTTCTGGTCTAGTTCTATTTCACTATGAAAAAAGTCCTTACAAAGGTTATTGAAATGAATCGAATATTACCCACAATGCAATTATTGCATATACATCACAAGATTATAGAAGATACACCGCAAGATTTTGCATATACATCACAAGATTATGAAATATACATCACGAGATTTTGCATATACACAAGATTTAGAACA